ACTCGCCCGCGCGGGCTTCACCACTACGGCATGCGAACCGCGCCGCGTTCAGTGTTCACCACGACCATCTTTCCCACGCACAACACGATGCGCCGATTGTGCATCCTTGCCCCATCCGCTGCCCACTACCTCGCCGGATCAGCACAGCTCACAAGCACATCCACGCATGCAGGAGACGGCGGTCCGGTGGCGGCGACACCGCAGGAGGAGGGCAGATGGAAGGATATTGTGGGAGGGGTGCCCCGGTGAGTCCCAATCGCTCTTGCGCACGTCGCCCGAGGGCACAATACACTCACCGTCCAGACATTTCCCCCTTATTTGCACCATTCAGCGCCATCTGCCGACCTCGAAGACCCGCGCACGGGCCCACGCGAAGCATCGCACATCCGTGCTCTACGGATCGCCCTTCTTCTCACCCTTCTTCAGCGACCAGGAGCCCACGCGCGCGTGTTTTACTATCACGGCTTCCCTGCCCCAACGCGGTGAGCTAATCACGCAGGCCTGCCCCATCCGCCGCCCACTCCCTCGTCTGATCTTCACGGCTCACGAGCGCGCGGACGCACGCAAGAGATGGCGACCCGGCGACGGTGACACCACAGGAGGAGGACGGGTTGTCAGGAGATTCTGGGACTGGTGCCCCAGATGAGTCGCAATCGCCCGATATTGCGCGTCGCCCCAGGGTGCATGCACTTACCTTCCAGACGTTTCCCCCTCGTTCGACCACCCAGCGCCATCTGCCGACTTCGCCCTTGTCGGCCGGGTCCGAGCATCCATAGAGCTCGCCTCAGCCGGACGAACATCCAGGCGGGATCCAGCGTGTACGCAGCATGATCCAGCTGCCTTCGGTTGACACATACGGCTTCAACCCGTCGCAGGCGGACTTTGCGTACGGCGTGGTGGACGACAGTCACGGACAGCACGGACATGCTATGTACGGCGTCGCAAGCGGGCGCAGCGTGCGACCGTCGATGTCAGCATCATCGCTTTCGACGAGCAGCAGCGCGGCCAATACGCCGGGAGGGGACGGATTCGGTGCAGGAGCCGGGGAGGCGGACATTAGCCGATGTGAGTGAATCTGTTGCTTTTGCTGTGGTGAGGATGTGGCCACTGCTGCTAGTTGCGGTGGGAGCGCTGGCCTGGACAGAAGTGTCGCTGACCCTTGTGCCTCTATGTGCGCGTCGCTCTTTACCATTCTCACCCGACTTCGGTTTCGTGCAGATGAACGAACACCTCTCTCAATACGTTAAGACGCCCGGCGACTTGTAGGCCAGTTGCGAGCAAATTTGCTATGCGAACCGACCCGAGGGCACATATGCACCTATGTGAGTTCCTTTCTCAGTGCGTCGTGCGGCTCCCCACGGCGCATATGCTTACCATCCACGCATCCTCTTCCTCGGCCCGCCGCCGGGAGTCATACACCACAAGCGAACGTGCAAACGGACGGCTTGTGCACCCAACCGCGCACCTCTCTGACGCCCTCCATGAGATAGACTCCTGCACCAGGAGCTCTTTGAGACCAAACAATGCCCACAAAAGGCAGAGCGGCTCGTTGCCAGTCTCAACCAGCCCTCATCCTCGCTAGCCGCAACATGCTGCGGTAGCGACAACTCACCCTCTAGCGCCTCCAACGGCTCTCCCCGTGAACGGCCAGGTGCAACCACCCCCCGAGTCTGCGATCAAGACCATCCTCGAGTAGGAGACGCGTGCTGAGCGTGCAGAGGCCGCTTGCGATGAGGCCGACGCACGCTTCTGCATCATCCAGGCATCATCCAGGATGCATGGGGGTGAACTCAATCACTATCTCAGCACCGTTGAGGTCCACTCCACTGACGTGCGCATGAAGCTATCGCACCTCATCGCGGATGAAAGCCGCCAGCTGGTCCTTGTCCAGCCTCTGCTTCCGCCCTCCCAATCTTTCTCGAGCTTTGCCTCGTCCATGCTCAAGCCCGCTCCCGGTCGTACCACGTTCATTCACCACGCGAACATGTCTACTGCAGTTTTCCCGACGCTCCCTCCTCCGCTCATGCCAAACCCGAACAGTGCACCTGCCTGATACTTATAGTAGATACATATTTATCGGGCCTGCGTTTCGTGCCCCGATCGGGGCAGCTCCTGCCTTCTCTGTCCCTCAGTTTGTCCGCATTTTCATGTGCTACGAAATTTGCCTGCCACTACTTCAACACCTGATTACATGGCATAGAGTCTTCTATATCTTTCCATACAACAATGCCAGCTGTTATTTCATGAATCATGAGACATTTGAATGTGTGAACATAGATAGAAGCGGTGAAGCAATCACTTCAACTGACTGACCATTGATAATCAATGACTTGGTATGATAAGATGTCGTAACCGATGTGTGATAAAACACGTTGAAAATGCGTAAATTCGAATGAAAGGTCCGTGATCCGTATACGATCGTTA